TGAATTCACGATAAAAACGAATATATATATAGTTAAAGTATGAAATGATATATTTGATCCATTTTTATAAAATCATCTTTTGTTTCTAGAAACAATGCTTCAAATTATCTATTGTTATTTCTTCCTGTATATTGTGAAAACAAATGTTCCGTTAATCGAATTTGAACGTACCACATTGAAACGTAGTAGTATCAGGTTTATAGTTCATAGAAATGGATTTTATTCGGAAAAAAAAGTTCGTTGAAATATTGGAAGCTTTATCGGTCACACTGTTAACAGTTCGCATATGTCATCAGTGAAAAATACAAGAAGCTTGCTTCTGTAGGAAGTAAAGTGTGTTAAAGTTTTCAGTCGAATAAAACTAAAGGATTTTTGGTCGTTGAATCACACCATGTATGATGTAATTCAAATCCGAGGAGTTTTGAAAAAGTAAGTTAAAATTTAAAAATGGGGATACCCTGTGCAATTTGAAATGTCACGGAAGATACGCGTGCAGTAATAAATAATTTTCTACTGACAAGACCGTAACAACAATTTGTAACAGTGTGTTATGAAACAAAATAATCAGACACTTACTATTATTTCATATAATATATAGTTATATCATAATGTATATTAAAATTATTTGTATATGCATTTATACCCTAAAACGCCTAGTTATTTCATAAAAATAACTGAATTAAACAGTATTGTATATATATATATATATATATATCTTACCACTAAAGTGCAGTAATCAGTTATTCTGCAGATTAATTAGGTTATGTACAGATAACCTAATCCGTTAATGTATCGAAAATTGTTTCATTTTTTAAATTATTTAAATAATCTGCACATTATCAACTATACACTGGTTAAAATGAAAATAAGATCTTTACTGGAACAACAGTAATGTTTCTCTATACGCTTAAATTAACATAATGTTATTTATTTATTTTTCGTTAACCTAAAAAATCGAGTTAATACAATGAAAAACAATCAACAAATTAATCGATAGAATCAATCGTCAAGCGATTAAAAAAACTATAATAAAAAGAATCAAACGTTACGATTAATGAAATTAAATTTGCAAAACGTATGATAAAATTATGCTTATTTATTAATACAATTTTAAAGATTGATAACACTTTCAATTACATCATACAATTAATTTTTACGACAATCATACCTATTTATGGTACATTTAGATTTGTAGTCACATTTCATGAAACCCTGTCACAGTACCAACGGATTGTTTTAATCGCTGTTTGACGAAAAAGATAATTCTATAGTAGAGACATCTTCTTTAACGATACTTTAACGATACTATAACTCGTTAACGTGTACATAACATAAATAAAATGTGGAAAGTTCTTCATTCCGCAATATTAACGGAGAAAATCAGTTAATCTGCAGATTAGCTAGGTTATGTGCACATTAACAATTTTCGAGATTTAGCGAAAAATAAAATAATAAATAAAAAATAGAAATAATATAAATAATTATATTTAAATATAATATACATATATATATTTATATAATATTTTGTTTGACCCGTTGAAGTTACGGCGTTGTAGGAGAAATTCCGTTAATCTGCAGATTAGCTAGGTTATGTGCACATTAACAATTTTCGAGATTTAGCGAAAAATAAAATAATAAATAAAAAATAGAAATAATAAATAATTATATTTAAATATATTACATTTATATATTTATATAATATTTTGTTTGACCCGTTGAAGTTACGGCGTTGTAGGAGAAATTCCGTTAATCTGCAGATTAGCTAGGTTATGTGCACATTAACGATTTTCGAAATGTAGCGAAAAATAAAATAATAAATAATAATAAATAATTTCATTTCAATATAATATATATATATAATATTTTGTTTGACCCGTTGTAGGAGAAATTCAGTTAATCTGCAAATTAGCTAGGTTATGTGCACATTAACAATTTTCGAAATTTAGCGAAAAATAAAATAATAAATAATAATAAATAATTTTATTTCAATATAATATATATATATATAAATATTTTGTTTGACCCGTTGTAGGAGAAAAGTCAGTTAATTTGCAGATTAGCTAGGTTATATGTGCACATTAACAATTTTTGAGATTTAGCGAAAAATAAAATAATAAATAAAAAATAGAAATAATAAATAATTATATTTAAATATATTATATTTATATATTTATATAATATTTTGTTTGACCCGTTGAAGTTACGGCGTTGTGGGAGAAAAGTCAGTTAATCTGCAGATTAGCTAGGTTATATGTGCACATTAACAATTTTCGAAATTTAGCGAAAAATAAAATAATAAATAATAATAAATAATTTTATTTCAATATAATATATTTATATATTTCTATAATATTTTGTTTGACCCGTTGAAGTTACGGCGTTGTAGGAGAAATTCAGTTAATCTGCAGATTAGCTAGGTTATGTGCACATTAACAATTTTCGAAATTTAGCGAATAATAAAATAATAAATAAAAAATAGAAATAATTATACAGTTTTGTTGAGGTTTTTGAATAATAACGATCAAATTAACAAAGTTTAGATGTGTTCTTTTTGGAATATTAACATAAAGAGAAATGTATGTCGAATTAAATAAAAAAGACGCTGAACTTTAATGATTAAGTTGCTGAAGAAGTCCCAATAAAGGGACGAAACGTCCAACTCAATCAAACTAAGTTCTACTTCTTTTCATGTCCAAGTTCCCTATGAACCTTTATCATCAAGAATATAAATAATTATATTTAAATATAATATATTTATATATATAATATTTAGTTTGACCCCTTGAAGCTACTGCCTTGTAGGAGAAAAGACCAATAGGAAGTGTGAAAGTGGGTTGGGTGGTAGAAGGAAAAGGAAAAAGGTTAGGAGGACGGATGTTAGATCGAAGGCAGTGAAATTGAAAATTTTCATCTACACACTAGTATCAGGTAAAAGCTAGCTTTGCTTTGCTCGAATGATTAAGGACCCTAAGGACACGCTTGCCGCGCAAGGACTTGACGGAAACTTCTTCCATGTAGTCGACCGACAACGCCTCTCTTCTACGAGATATCGATCGCAATATAACGTTAGAAAAGGACAAAAAGAAAGGAAAAGTGAGGAGGAGGAGGAGGAGCAGGAGATCGAGGGGCAGGGGCAGGGTGTTGAGGGGGTTGAGGGGCCAGGGAATGGGGTGGGGCGGTAGGCTAAGAGGAAGGAAAGGAATCTTTGCTATAAACGAGCGTGTTTAATATTTCAAAGGGGCCAAGAGACAACGACCTGATCAAATATGTATGTATATATATATGTATATATATATATATATACATCTTTGAGTTTATTAACCCCTTCGTTACGACCATTTTGTCCGGCGTAACACTAAGAAAATGCACACATAGCACGTAATCAATTCTCTTTTGTAGGAACATTTTCTTAAGGGTTTACATGGGTTTACACCAGGAAAAAATAGGCATATTTTCAACAATTTTTTTTTCTATATAGAAAATAGAATTCTTATTCAAACTTTTGATAGTATTTAAGATACATATTTAAAGAAGATTTTCTAAAATTTTCGTTGAAAAATATTTTAAATTCAGTTATTGCGACGTCATTTCCGGTGACCCCACCGAAAAAAAAGTGTTTTCGCGTTGACAGCAGAACTTATAAACGTTGGGGGTTTTTCTGTTGAACAAATAGGGTCTTTTAGTGAATACTTAAAACTAGAAACTGGACGATGGAAAAAGAAAAAAATTAAAATTTGGATTTGTGGCAACGTTTTTAGCAAGAACATTCAAATTTCGCTGCAATTTGCATCACATTTTGGTTTCTTCAAATTCGATTTGATGAAAAAAACGAAAATCCTTCGTCCAAGTCGTTGTCAATAGTATCACGAAGACGTGTAGCAGATTTCATGAAAATCGGTTAAATAGTTATCGAGAAATCTTGACAACCGACTTTAGAAAAAGCGTTTTGAGAAAAACGCGTTTAAAGATTTGAGTGGTGGTATAAGAGCCATTAAAGAGTGCAACTTCCCAGGGCTCTATCTTTAAAATTACTACTCCTATCGACTTCAAAATTAAATACAATATTCTAGATGAGTTGTAGAATTGAAAAAGATAAAAAAAAAAAAAGAAATTTTTTCGAAAGTCCCAAACCCATGTAACCCTTTAAACGTGTGTTTAATAAGAACGGTGCTTATAACATTAAAACTTACCGACACTCTTTCGTGCATACTATTTATTTTTTCTTACAGTGAACAATCGAATAAAATCCTTTAAAGAATGATTTAAAGTGTAATAAACATATATCTTAATTATAGAATGAAATTGTAGACCAATTGGATGACGAGGAAAATATTATCCTTTTTTATTTAAAAACAATTTTTCTATGCATTTTTATCACATTTTTCTATTTTTTCATAAATTACAAATTGCGGTAGGTTTAATTGTTAATAATAAAAAAAAAGAAAACAATGTTAAACAATATATCCGGTATTCGTATTTAAAGATCGTCAGATGGATGTCGGATATATCCGGCACTCGTATACACGGATAATCAGATAGATGCCGGATATATACGGCACACGTATCAAAGAAGGTTAATCAATCAATCAATCCTAATGTTTTATGTTGGTTATTGCTATCTATCCTCTATCTTTTTTTTTCTAGATAAATCAATAATAATAATAATAATAAATAACAATAACATTTTGATATTTTATATCTAGCAAATGAGATTTCGTTTGTAAACATGATCAATACGTTTTTATGCATGTGTGTGTTTTTCGATAAAATTGTCAGATAATAATTGATGAATATGTTGTTGTTGTTGTTGTTCTTGTTGGTCGTGGTAAAATGTTATAATCAATGACGGTAGCGAATGATTCCCCATGAAAGTATGAAAGCTTCGAAACATCGGAAACCCAATGTTTCATTAACTCGTAAAACGGGTTCTCACGTTGAATTTCTATTTCAGACTGGAACTCCGCCCTATTCATCATCCTGAATGGTACGAAGGAGGAGCACTTGGACATGCTGGACGGTGGCATTATTCAACGATTACTCGAGGAAAAATGGAAGACATTTGCTCGGGTTTGTATTCTCTACTTAAAAACAACAACAACAACAACAACAACAACAACAACAACTAAAGAAACCAAAAAAAAAAAAAACAAAAAAGAAGAAGGAATCAATGAGAAACAAAATCACCCTTCCCCCACCCTCCTCCTCCAATCGAATACAAATATTTTATACCCCACCCCCCTACCCCCCTGCCATTCCTTAATTACTTTTTATCCCATGGATTTGATTTTTTTTCCTTTTTTCGTGGTTTCTTTTTGTTTGAAAATTTATTATTCGCAATGAGAGAGAAAGAGAGCGAGTGGGGAGGGGGTTGGTGGGGGGTGGGGAAAGAAAGAAAAGAGGAGGATCAAGTTGGGAAGGGGTAGACACAGTGAGATCGATTTTCGCTTAGCGTCACTTTCACGTAAAAGCTTTGGTGGGTAGGGGTGTGGGTGGGGGTGGGGGTGGGGGTGAGTTTTGAGGGTGGAGACTGCGTTCTGCATTGATATCATCGCAAGAGGACAACATTTTGTCTTCAGGGAACAATACTACAAGCCTAATGAACCTCGACAAAAAATCATTGATCATTTCAAATCATTCGGGATTTAATTCGTGGTTGTTTAACCGGCTGATGGTTTTATTATTGAACGTAGAAATTAATTCTGTGCATCCCCCCCCCCCACCCCTATTCTTTTCTTTTCTTTAATTCGGAGATTTTTTATTGCAAATATTTGTTTGACGGATTATGTTTGGAAATGTTTGTCAGGTTTTTTTTTTTCTATAATTTTTTATCAACAATTTGGTAACTTATAAACATTGTTCTCGTATAATGAAAATGGTTTTTGTTGGTTCATGAAATTTTCTACGTATATTCGGACCACTTTAAAACAATTTGAACTTATTCTTTGGTAAATGGTATTGTAAGGCCTCGAAAATTAGGCCCAGATCTGGAGATTAAGACAAATAAGGGAAAGTTTTCTGTACCAAGGAATAAATGGTGTCTCACGTGCCTAATGCAACGTTTAAAAGTAATTATAAAATTATATGTTTTAATATTTATAATTGTATATGATGATATTTTTAAATTTGAGAATTTAATTTATTGGTTTTGTAATTATTTATATAAAATTTAATAAT